ACTCCAGCAGTGTTCTTCTGGAGGCGGGACACAGGACAGTGCATGGCAAGCTTGCAGGAAATCTCAGGTACCATAGTTAAGCTGGTCAAATCTAGTCACCACAATATGCTACTGTCTTTATCAACCAGTGGTGTTCTTTCCATTTGGGATATAGACATAATCACGGCTATGTCCAACATAGATAAAACTGGAAAACCCATCCAGAGTCTGGTGTTGCCTGCCAGAGGGGAAATCATTTATTCTCTTGATGGCTCTGATTGCGTTCATAAATGGAACTTCAGCAGCGGGTTCATTGAAGCAGTGTTTAAGCATGAAGGAATAGTTGAACACTGTGTGTTAACATCCACTGGAGACATAATGGTGACATCAGATGACAAAAGCAGCCAGTATGTCTGGCACACCAGCAGTGGGGAAAACCTCTTCCGAATTAATGGGCAGAGGATATCTCAGCTGCTGATCACACACAATGACCAGTTTGTGGTCTCTCTCTGCGAGGAAAATGCCTCCAGGGTTTGGAGACTGGCCACAGGCCACAGGGTCTGCAACATCTTGACCACTTTGCAAAATGCCTTTATTACCTCTGCAAACACCTTCGTGGTAGGAATGACAAAAAGCAAAGTGCTGGCAGTCAGTCTTTGGACAGGAAGTATCACCAAGAAATTTTGCTGCGAAGACGGGATCACCATTGTGAATTTTAAGCTGATCCCCGACTGTCCTGATATCATCGTGTTTATCACATCTGCTGAGACTGTAAACATCTGGAGTCTGACTGACGAAGTGATCTGTCGACGTGTGCAGCTTCCAAGCAACTTCTTGAAAAACCTGGAGGATTTTGAAATTTCTCCCAATGGGAAGCTAGGCATTATATCCCGGGGAGATGAAAATATCAACGTGCTAGATTTACACAGTGGAAAAATGCGGGTGGTTCATGCCTCTGGGGTCATCTGGAGGCAGAGACTTTCTAGAGATGGTCGCTATCTGGTATATATTTGTTTCCAGAATGGGGAGGAGGAGGAGGAAAATGATGCGATATCTAGCTTAATTGTAATGAGACTGGCTGATGGCAAAAACATTGGTGCTTGTTCCCTTTACAAAACACCAACTTTTCTTGCACTCTCACAGAGACACCTGAACATCATTGTCGGCTTTGAAGATGGGAGTATAGGAATATACACAGTTGTGGACCGTGTAGACGCCGCACTGAAAATCAAAATTGCAACTTCAAATAGCAGGCAGATTTTCAACAACGCAACACAGACATCCAGGCCAAAGTCGAACAGTTACTCCTTTAAAGTGTCTGTGGACTGTCTATGGAGAGAGTCCACTGAGGTCTTTGCAAGAGACAGCCCCATCACGGTGAGTGACTCCTCGGAGTCCAATGAGGCTACACCTTCCAAGAAACACAACTCTTGTTATGACCGGGTGTGCGCTGCCCTAGAATCCCGGAGCCACAACTACACACCAGATAACTGACCTGATGTTTATCCTGCTCAACTGAAATACATAATCCACATACAACAGAAAAAAATCAAAGTGCATCTTCTGCATCACAAATGATAAGCTGCTCATTTATTAAAAGCAGGGAAGATGCTGGAATTCTCAATGTATTAAAATCCTTATGAAAAGAACAGAACCACGAGACTCAACTTGGGTGCCATCTTTTCGTCCAAATGTATTAGACAAATAGAGAACTTATGTGTGTAATAGTGAAATGGCCATTTCACCTAGAAGAGAGAGGATAAAGTCTTTTAAGTTTGCTGTGTAATAAGAATCAACACAATTCACTAAATTGATTCAGATGAGAGAATCTAGACTTATAGACAGACCAGTTGGACTAGAATTAGTTCTACAGAAGCCAGTTGAAATCATGGTGGCAGAGAACTATTAGATTCTGAATGGTGGTATGATAGCAAATTGCAGCCTTAATCTCTCTTTACGTTTCTCAATCCTGACAACTGTGTAAACCTAGTCTGCACACAAGAGGTCTAACGGTGCAAAATTGTGGAAGAAAAATGTCCAGATGTGTTCCAGTTTCCCAAGACACCACATAAAATGTGAGATGGTGAACAGACTGGAACAATAACTAACTACCACTATTATAGGGCTACTGAACATGGAGAGTCAGTATTCATTAAAACACACTCACAATGACTGCATGCAAGGGTTTCTGTGTAATGGGATATATCATTTTTAAACTGTTTCTTTCTTGGATTGCAAGAGAACCCACTTAATATAATCTTTTCACACCTTTTCTTGAGATGCATATTTGTGCTGAGTGTAAAGAATTATAGGAAGGGCATTACAAACTTGGTCAAAACACCTGTTCATTTCTTTCATTGTACTAACAAGAATCTGTACTCTTCAGTCAGCTGTTGGGAAGCCTAAGTTATTTCCCAGCCCCCTGCAGTATGTCTTAATAGAAAGAAAGCTTTTGAAACGCATCATCTCTGAAATACTGATGACATTGCCTTACTCTCATTCCTCCTCTGCCCTGTGTAAAATGCAGATAAATGACCAAATACTCTGGGACAAACAATATGCCTGTCTCTGTGCTAAAATATTCCATTTATCCTAAGGGTGTCCAAAGGTTCTTATCCTCCCTGTTTGTAGTCACTTTCTTACTTCTGCACACTGTATGTATGCCTCTTTATCTGTCCCACTTCCAGACTGAGGACCTTCCTAGTCTTACATTTCAAAGCAGAAACTATGAAACGGTATATTAAAAACAGAAACAACTTTACCAATTTGAAGGAAAATGTATCTCAGAAGGTGAAAGTGCTTTTCTTCCTTCCATGTCCTCCGCATGTTCATGGAAGTCAGTGCCAGAGGCCGGTTTGGTTTTCCTTGAAAGCAGAAGCTACTTAAATCAGAACAGTGGACAAGGAACCAGCTTGTTTTTGTCCCAGCTCTGCTGCAGACTCATCATGCACCTGAAGCCTGATCTTTAACCTCACCAGGGTATTGGTTTTGTGGACTGCAAATAAAGGAGGTGATGGCTTCAGCTACAGCCTGTAAGCCTGGGGGGATGCCAGGAGTAACAGGAGAAACATGTCACAGCTGTGACATATTGGTTGCAGATATAACGGGGGAAAATTATCTATACCCACAGAGCATCCAAGTCAATTGTATTTCACTAGTGAAAGGATTTAACATGCAAGCATTCGAAGGTGTCACTCAGATACCAACAGCCTACTCCATGGCCAAACACCTTTTTCAGTGTGTTCCTCCTAGTTTAGCTACCAGCCAGTAGGTGGAAGCCCAGGGTAGGGCAAAAATCCATATACCCATCATCTGGAATCCATACTTTTAGCTCTTCAACCAACGCATCCTTATTTCTGTCATTATCAGTTGAACCTCCATGCCATACGTTTCTAAGAATTAAATGCCTATATGGATTAAATGTAGTGTGTGAGTGTTCTGTGTAAAAGCCAATAGGGTATATCAAGTGACCTGAATGATTTTTCCTAACATGTTTGCAACTGATAGCTCATACTGAATGTTTTTATGTAAACTTTGTATTGTTGGGATGAATTACCCAATCAGAGATTTATATTTTCATAAATGTTACATTTAGTTAAATTTTGTTACAGAGTTGTTACACTAGAAAATTATTTCAGTGTTCAGATAATATACAGTCTTGTGTATGTATTGTTTGTATGAATAAAAGATGAGCTACTTAAGTTTGAGTGCCCGTTTTTGTTGGTGCTGTTTTGGGGGGGTTGTTTGTTTGTTTGTTGTTGTTTTTTTAACCCATGAGGCTGGCCAGAAGTAGAAGACCTCAATTACCAGTAATTATTCAAATTTACCAAAGGTACATTCAAACTGTTCCGGAAGCTCTCCAGGTACAAAGCCATACCACCTACACCACAGCCTGGTGAGTTCGGTACCATTACTACTCCACATTTATGGGTGAGAAAGCTTAGACATAAAGACTGTGGGCATGACTCCAGTGGACCGCCAGCATCTTTGCTAACTTTCCCAAAGCCCATCACAATATTCAGTACCCAGCAGTCACTTGGTGACAGTAACTCCTAAGATATTTACTAATTTGCAGGCGAGAGATTCAGCTAGTATATTAAAGACCACTGGAAATTACCAGAAATGCCTGCGTTTATGTTGTTTTGTTTTTCCCTTTTATCCAGTATACAGAGATACTTGATGAATCCAGTCAGCAAATATTTACCTAGTCACAATTTCACTAAGAACACAGAGGTAAAATAGATCTTGCCTTCTAGAATTTCAGACTCAACAAAAAAAAATGGAGAGAATATGTGCAAGGGCACACAGCTTCCCCTTATGGCTGAAGGAGGGAAGGATGGTGGCAATATTGGAAAGCTTCAGCAATGTAAACCACAATCGGATGAAAGCTTGTATGTAATTCTCAACAAAACAAACTTTCAAAAAACCCACTAAAATCCAACGTTTAAAAGAAAACTAAAGACATTATCAAGTTTCTTACCCTCATCTCTTTCTGACTGAAATGAGCCACAAAAGTATCTCCCTACTGACTCTAAAACCCCAAGACAAATTCCAAAGTCCTTTTTTATCAGAACAACCTAATTCACAGTACCCCATGAAAATTTCTGACAAAGCTGGAATCTGACCCTGAGAGTCATTTATTGTGACAAGAACTTTTTTTTCTTCAATAAGTAACACTTAACAACGTATAAATTCCTTCATTAAATACCATTTAAAAGTGCCCAGCTATTTTAGTACAAGAATGAGCCGAAAAAATTAAGTGTTCTCCCATAGAGCGTGGTAAATGCCTGTGAATGCAACGGACAACTTGAACACAAACACTGTGAGAAACTAAGGAGGGCCTTAAGTCTTTGGAAAGTTCTTTCTCCAGCTTCACGTTTTACCCTGTCACTGCAAGCCTTGGAGCGTGGAGAGGAAAACGAGTAAGCTAGGTGGCGCAGTTGCTCAACACACTTTCCTGACAGGCTCCATAGTCCCTGGGCCAGGTGGAAAGGAAACCCAAACCTTAAACCGAATTTCAGGATTAAGCCACCGGTTCTTCACCCATTCTGGGTAAAGCTCCGTGTTTTCGGTGGAGCGTCCCACATCCTGACACCCTAAGGGAAGGGGTCTGGAAGCAGGGTTCTTTCATTCCTCCCACTCTAGCCTTCAGGACGCAGGCGAGCGAGCGAGCGAGCGTGCAGCCCCTGGGAATGACCGTCGCAGCAGCGGCGTCTGTGCTGTTTGTCTAGCCATCAGGCAGGCAAGAAGCAGTGCGCGCGCGATCTGCCAGCTAATGCGGCTGGCTCGCTGATCCCTCACACTCAAGTCTGGATCACGGGATGTCCCCTTGTCCCTGCAGTCAGCGCACACGGGTCGGAGCGCAGGTAAAGGGTTACGCGTGGCTGGGAGGCTCGCCCGCTGCCCGCCCACGTGACGCGCTGGCCCAATGACCACGGCTCGGCTCCGGCTGCGGTGCGGCGGGCTCCGAGCGGCACTGACCCACTCGCGTGTCCCAGCGCGGACACCCGAGGCCCGCGAAGCCATGGACACCCCGACCCTGGAGACGACGCCCCACCGCAGGTAAGCAGCGTCCGGGCCCGCGCCGGGCTCCCCCGGGGAGGAGGAGGGCTGGTCCTGGGCGGGAGTCCCCGCTTCGTTCCTCGGTCGCCCTTAACTTCTTGGTTCCCTTCTGGAGGAGCGCGGGGAGAAACGAGGCGAGGGAACCTATGGTTTGATGACTTCGGGGAAAGTCACGGAATTCAACCAAAGAGCTGGAAAACCTGGCGGACGACACGGTTCAGGTCCCCAAACTAGGGGCGTCCGTGCTGGTGTTGTAAAATGGTTTGTTTTTAAACTCCCAGTTCTCAGCGGTGCCTGGGAACTTCAGCCGGACAAATTGCAAGAGATATTTCCCCGTCGGCCTGTGTTCGAGGTTCACCATATTTTAGCATCTGGGGACTTTTATTGAATAAAACGGGAAAGGGCATTTGACCGCCCCCGCCCTTTCTTTGAAATGTCCTTGGGTCCTAAGATTGGGTCTAAGGCGGTGGCAACAGTGCCTGGAGGGACTGCCATGCTGTGGGCTCAGCAAGAGCCTGGGGCTGGAGACTGGGCACCAGATGTAAACAGTTAAAAAGATCGCACGCTGTAAATATCTAATGGGCAAGCATCTCCTAGGTCAGTCACCTAGGTCTCCGTGGCCTGAACAGGCCTGATGAAGTGATATTTTCATAAAGTCGCCAATGAAGACTTCCAGTAACACCAGGCAGATATCAGTGGGGCATATATACTTCCCTGAACCGTAATTAACCTTAAAAGCAAAGCAAAATAACCCCATCTCCAGTGACTCAGAATGTTTTGTTTTCCATCGTGTTATAGACACTTGTGCGATGAATTGAGAGGAAGTGGGTGTTCTAGGCGACGCTTCGATTAAAGAAAGGGTGTTTGTGGTCTCCCTGCAACTGTTTATGAGGACGTGTTGGTTGTGGCTTGTGGATGGATGCTTTGGGTAATTGTAACAGCTTTGGTGAAGAACAAACGCTGGCGAAAAGAAAAGCCTATAAAGTGGATGAAAAAGAAATAAAAGCAGTTAATTTTAGAGGTGGTAGGTTTTATATTTGCTGGAGTTTTTTCCTCCCATATAACTTTCTAGTTAATACTATTTTAAGAAGGATGCAGTATCTCCCATATAATTTTCCAGTTAATGCTTGTTTAAGAAGGATACAATAGCTCTCTACATCTAAGTAAGTACCAGTGTCCCCAAAACACCGTGCTAGTCCCTTTGGTAAAAATCCCTGTGCCAGGGAAGATCTCTGTAACAACACTACGGAGTTAACCATCATTTAGGAGAGTGCTGGGTTCTTTGTGTTTCTCCAAAGTGTGAAAACTCAGTAAACAGCCAGCTCCAATGCTCGCTGAGGTGACAGATACAGGACAGTGACTTGTGGCTCATTTCTCCTGCTCACCCACTCTACCCGCCTTTTGATCCTGCTCCGTCACTTATTCTACAGGAATTCAATTGTCAGTGGAGATTTCAATACCTACTAATGCCTAAAATTAAATGTGGCCCGTGTTCACTACATCCCAAAGAGATTTTACACACCTGGGATTTAAAATGAAAAAAACAAACAAACAAAAAAACTTGCTTATTGCTTGAGCACATACTATGTCCCTAAAAATGAAAGGATTCCCTGACTTCTGACCCAGCACTTCTCAGAGCCTGAAAATGGTGTCCTCTAATTGTGGACAGGAGCCAGTCTCAGCGCAAGGGCAAAACAGATGCTGAGACCTTTCCACTCAGAACTGCCTGGGGGAGGTGCCCCAGGAACCCATTGCTTGGGTGTTTTCTGATAACTGAATACCAGCCTCCTCCAAGCTAGTTTCTTCTTCCTAAACAGTGTCTCACATGTTCCTAGTTCTACAATTTCCCAGTCACCCTCAATCTTAGGCTCTTTTGGGTTCTTGACTAAAGAACCTATTTAGTTTCTAATTTCATCATTAGAGCGGTTGTCTGGATAGATAGTCTCCCTAGATAATTCAGAAAAGGAGATCTGGCAAGAGCTGACTGTACCATCGTGGGGGAGAATGGGGGAGGACAGGCGTGGAGAACTCCCTGTCTGCAGGGCAGTCAGGGAAGTGCCCAGTCGTGGTCTTTTTAGTTCCTGCTCTTAATCCCAGAGCCATGCTGGTCCCTCACTGAAACCGGTCTTACTCTGGTTATTTCCTGAATGCTACTGAGGAGAACAAACTGAAAATCAGATCATTCATCTGCTCCTGGTTTTCCCCCCATGAATGTCATGGCCCCATGGAGATTGGAATCTTCAGAAAGATTGTAGACTGTCAAAATGACCCTGTCTTAAAATATACTGAAAACCATGAGCTGTGATTATGAGAGACTGATAACTAAATAGCTTAACCTATGATTCAGTGTTGTCAGAAACCCTAGACACTACTGAGCTGCAGTGAATGCTAACCGAGATCAGATAGGGTGACCATATAGGTACATGGTTGCAACTTAGCTAATGTGGTGTCTGAAATTTTACCATGAGCAGTGAGATCTCTTCAGCACACAGGTGTCTCTCTAAAATCAGATGAACTCTGGCCTGGCCTTAGAGACCACACGTGTGTGAGCCCGCTGACTCCAGGCAGTTGGCAGGGTGCTAGGAACACAGACAGCTGCGGCTTGAAGAATCTAATCTTGGGAGAAACCTTTGAAGGGTTTAAAGCAAGGCACATATCTGTTCTTGAAAGTTTACTCTGGCTGCCGTGAGAAGGATGGAATGGGGGAGTCAACAAACATGGCCGAAGGCAGCTGGATACACAAATTCCCAGAAGAGCAGACAGAGGAGGTGGTCAGTTGAGAAGATATTCAGGCACCTACAATCTTAACTGTAAGGAAGTTCTAATGACTCTGGTCTTCGATGTTAGTTTGCATGCCATTTCCAAATTAGATTCCCCGCTCCCAGGTTAGTAACCATAAGCCCTGCTTCAATACAGTGCTCCTAATATAGAGTACAGTTACACCGCACTTCACACAGTTTCCATCACAGAAAGAAGGTTAATGAGATAATGATGGTCACATTGTTAGCAACTTAATGCTTCCTCACGTAGACTTTGAAGTATTAAGGCAAAATGAAGATAAACCTTTGTCTCATGTAGACCCTGTCTCATGTACCTTAAATTCCTGTTGGAATAAAAGTCGCCTGACTTTTGGGCTGTTTAATTCCCCAAGTTGGCCTGAACATGTCCTGCACTGTGTCACCGAGAGGACAGCCTGTGTTTGGAAAAGTAGTAAATGGTCTATGAAAAACATTTTGTGCTGGGGGGGGGGGGGAGTTCTCCTAGTAGTTGACGCCCAGCTGCATGCAACATGTATTGGTATACATTTTTAATTTTGTGTTTTGAAATTCACTGTCCATTAACCCGAGAGAAGATAGCTACAGAAAAGAATTTTGAAATTTCTTTGCATCTCCCCGTTCTCCACACCACCCCTACCCCATCTAATAACTGAGTACCTCAACTGGTCAGTCGTATGAGGTAAATGCAAAGATTTGGCTGGAGCTATAAAACAGTATACTTCCTGATTAATGACTAGACTGCGGGCAGTTATCACTTCTCCCAAACGTTACTGCTACCTAGAAATGAATGCACAAAGCTGGCTTTCCCCTGTAAATCATTGTCATTCGACAACATTAGTTCTTCTCTGGTCCCTGATGAACTTAGCTATTTGGGTTCATAGTCCACAAAGAGATTCCACCCTAGTGGTTCAGTGTGGCTGTTATGATAACAGTGAGATATTTTACTCACAGCCCACTGGAAGCCAGCAAAGAAATACAGGGAAGTTTGTCCGTGATTAAATTATCAAAAAAATAATAACATTTTTATCGTTATTATTGGAGTTCATAACTGTCTTTTAGTAAATAAGTATTTTTTGAAATCAGAAACTTAAAGAGTCACTTGTCCTAAATAACTTAAAAATGAGAAAAAAGGAAACTAGATCAGAGAGTTTGTCAAACAATATTATATAAGTTTATACAGCTGCCCACTAGGTCCAGAATTTGAGTCTTGGTTCTTAGTTCTTCATGCTACTGACTAACCATCATAAATTTTAGGATACATAGATCCCATTTTCAATTAACCTTTGCCCTACAATATAGTTAGCCTCTGTTTATTGAAAAATTGCTTGTATATACAACATTAGTTCTCTGTTGCTGTGTAACGAATGACCCAAGGATTAGTAACACAGGTTTGTAACAAACATAATGACCTAAAATAACCACTGTTTGTTGAGTTTACGATTGTGTAGGTCAGCAGTTGGGACTGGGTTCAGCTGGGTGAGGCTTGCCCAAGCTCTTTCACGTGTCCGTGCTCACCAAGGTGGTACCGCCTCTGGGTTTTAGCTGACTGTCGACTCAGTCACCTGGGGAGCTAGGAGGCTGAGTTCAGTGGTTCCCAGGCTGCCCCCCTGTTGTCTCTACATGATGTTAGGAGGGAGACAGAAGCAAGGCCTAGGCTCAACTGATCCTACTCATTCAACAGCAAGTCGGGAAGCCGAGTTCTAATTCAGAGGGTGGAGAATAAGACCTCACTTCTTAATTTGAGAAGCTACAAAGTCATATTAAGAAAAAAAATTCCTTGGACCCTTGTGGCCCCTTTCAAAGCCTGCTATATCAACCCCACAGTTTACATAATTATCTTAACTTCTGGTGCCTGCAGCTAAGGTAGAATCCCTACTTTACAAGTAAGGAAACTGAGATCCAGATGTGTTAGTAGGGATCAGGCAAAGAACATAGCTTCTGAGTGGTAGGTTGGCCTTGGATCCTAGGCCTGACTGGAAACCACCATGTAATGCTTCCTCTGTGTTCTACCCCAGTGAGAGGCACCGCAGTATCTCACAGCTAATACTAGTATGCTCAAAGCTTTAATAATGCGTATGTGTTTAAAGATCAGATGTGAGTGCAACCTTAAAGAGCATGCACTTTCATCTGTATGTGTGAGCACACACACTCCCAAAGCAACTAAATCAGATGGATGCTTGCTTTCTCAAAGAAGCTTAGTAGAGAAGGAAGGAGGACAGGGAG